AATAGGGGTGAAAGGTACAGACAACAGTCAGGACAGACTATTAAGGAAAGATGTGTACCTTCATTCATTAAACCTCTGAAGACTGCTGAGTAGCACAACTACACAATTATAGCTGGGCTTTAAGAAGTATAATTCTGGGCCAGCACTTTGGGAGGCAGAGGCGAGAAGAGTGCCTGAGCCCATGAATTCGAGACCAACCTGGGCAAGTTGGTGAGACCTCATCTTCACAATAAATCAAAAAAATTAGCTGGGCATGGTGGTGTATGCCTGTAGTTCCAGCTACTTGGAAGGCTGAGGCGGAAGGATCACCTAGTGGCCAGGAGCATGCTACTGCACTCCAGCCTGGGTGACAGAGTGAGACTTCAACTCAAAATAAAAAGAAAGAAAAAGAAATGTAATCCTAAACTAGGCATGGTGGCTCACACCTGTAATCCCAGCACTTTGGGAGGCTGAGGCAAGACGACTGCCTGGGTCCGGGGGTTCAAGAACAGTCTGGGCAAATTGGTGAAACCTCTTCTCTATAATCAAAAAATTAGCCAGGCATGGTGCATGCACCTGTGGCTCCAGCTACTTGGAAAGCTGAGGCAGAAGGCCCACCTAAGCATGCCAAAGCTGCAGTGGCAGTGAGCGCGCCACTGCACTTCAGTCTGGGTGACAGAGAAAAACTCCTACTCAAAAAAAAAAAAGAAAGAAAGAAATGTAATCCTGCAAAACCTGTGGATGAACAAGAACAGGGAGTATGGTAGAGAAGAGAGCAGCTAAGTAAAGCTTCCAAGAGAACATGGGCAGAGAAACCATGTGGCCCAGTCCTGTGTTCATAAAAAACCTCCAATGCCGGGCTCGGTGGCTCAGCCTGTAATCCCGCGCCTTTGGGAGGCTGAGGTGAGTGGATTGCCGAGCCCGCAGGTTCGAGACCCCCTGGGCAGCGAGACCTTATCTCTACAATAAATCAAAAAATCAGCCGGGCGTGGTAGCGCATGCCTGTAATTCCGGCTACTTGGAAGACTGAGGTGGAAGGATAGCTGGAGCCCAGCAGATCGAGGCTGCGGTGGCCGGGAGCGGCCACTGCACTCCAGTCTGGGCGACAGAGTGAGACTCCAACTCAGAAAAAAAACAAAAAAAACTCCAATGGTCTTCAAGTGAGATGACGCATACAGAGAGGCCCACTGCAGCAGGACTGAATGATGCTCGCCATTTGGCTGTCAGCTCAAGATCCCAGGAACGTGGCACCAATAAACAAATAATGTTTTATTTATTTTTTATTTTATTTTATTTTGAGTCAGTAGCATGCTCACACCCACTGCAGCCTCAACCTGCTGGGCTCAGGCGATCCTTCCACCTCAGCCTTCCAAGGAGCTGGAACCACAGGTGTGCACCACTGTACCCGGCTAATTTTTTGATGTATTGTAGAGACAAGGTCTCACCATATTTCTCAGGCTGGTCTCAAACTCCTGAGCTCAGGCAGTTCTCTCATCTCTGCCTCCCAAAGTGCTGGGATTACAGGGACGAGCCACTGCGTCTGGCTACAAATAATGTTTTAACAGATCTTATCATTACTTATAAATAGTACAGATGTATGTCATCCTTTTGTGTGTATTAACAGCATTAATTTCCTAAATTCTAAGCAGACTGAATTTCCGTCTTCCTGTTTTGAAATTCTTTCTTTTTTTAAAGAAATGAAAGTTGTTTAAGACTCTCCACTTCTGAGCTTATTTCAGGTGTCGTGCTGCATGGTAACAAAAGCCTAAGGTAGGTGGTGGTCAGGGAAAGTGAAGAAAAAGAAGAAGAAACGAAGAGATTTTGCATGGGTAGTCTAGAGATGGCCTGACAGCTGCTGAGAATGGGAGTCAAGAATGATTCTGCAGTTTCCTGTCTAGGTCACCAGGAGGATGATGGTGCTATTAATAGAGGAGGAGGTCAGGAGAGGAAGTGGCATGCATGAGATGAGTTCCATCTGGGGTGTGAGGAACTTGATTCTTTTCGTCTATCTGGCTTTACATAAGCCGAAGTAACATTCGTGACAACAGCATCACTCTTGAATAGAAGTGAAGGATAGCAAAGAACCTCTGTCCCACACTCTGCCTTGAACCATGAAAACGCACACCATCAGAAACACATCTATGCAATTCTTAGGAAAATCACAGTTCCTCCAGAGAAATGAGTCATTCACCACAGAGTTCCTTGAAAGCTCCCCGCTGAGATTAGCTCATAGCAGGTATCATATACACATCACTGGTCCCCTACAGTGGGGGAGGGGAGGCTCTTCAGAATAAAGAAAGAACATGGAAACCTACTGCTATGACCCGTTTTAGCTTAGAGTACTTTCAGTCTATGTTCCCCATTCTAAAGATCGAAGTATCCACTTCCCCAAAACCCCTCAACAGCCCTGCCAAAATATAGAATATAAAATATAATATACATATTAAAATATATTTATTATTCTATATTCTATATAGTATATAACCCACAGAACCAGAGAGTGATAAGGACTATACAAGAACTTTCATATCATCCCAGTCAATTGATTGTTTTTAAAGATGAAGAATTGCAGCCCCACAGAGGAGAAAGCACAGGAGAAGTCGGTGTCAGATGCAAGTCTAGCACTAAGGTCCCTAAACGCTCCTCCGTCCTGTCACCCTGGGAGCATATCAAGACTCATGCCTGGCTGGGCGCAACAGCTCATGCTTGTGATCCCAGCACTTTGGGAGGCCCAGACGGGAAGGATCACTTGAAGCCAAGACTTTGAGACCAGCCTGAGCAACATAGTGAGACCTCATCTCTACAAAAAAAATCAGCTAGGTGAGGTGGCACATGCCTATAGCCCTAGCTACTCAGGAGATTGAGGTGGAAGTATCGATCGCCTGAGCCTAGTAGGTTGAGGCTGCGGTAGCCCTGATCATGCCACTGCACTCCAACCTGGGTGACAGAGTGAGGCTCCAAACAACAACAAAAAACTCATGTTCACTTTCTTCATAGTCCAGGGTACTGCACCTTTACCTGCAATGATGCGATACACACAGGTAGGGCTGTGGCCCTGCATGCTTTAATTGATGTATGAAGAAATAGCCTGGAGGTGGAGAAAGAGGTTGCTTCTTCACTCAGTAACTTTTTTACTGAGGTTCTCAGCATCATTTAACAATGACTCACATCATTAATTATATTAGTCAACTAGTCACTTTTAGAAAAATAATATAAATACATATTTTTCTTTATATGGAATCTGATATTAGTAAACAGGGGTTATTCTTTTTTAAAAAAAAAAGGAAGGAAATCAAGATCATGTGCTCACTCTGGCATAAAATATGCTTTTTGTATGTTTTGAGCAGAAGAAAAACTAGAAGCTCTCACTCTAACAAAATGAGATATTATCCTTTTATAACATATTTATAAAAAGGAAGCTTAATGGCATATATCTGCAAACCATAAAAATCTCAAAAATTAGAAATCAAATTTCTTAAAGAACACTGGTGTCATGGCCACTTAAGCATTATGAAAGTCTCTTATAGCTAGAACATATGAGAGGAAAAAATAAATAGGTAGATCACATTTTAAAAAACCATAAAGCAGATAATGATACAAAGCTCATGTTAACACAGACGATTTTTAGGTTTGCTTTGAATGATAATTTAGGCAGGAATTGAGGCAAAGAAAACTCTTCTGCCCATATAAAACTTTAATTGAAGATAATATAGTTATCTAATTATTTTAATCTAAACGCTTATTTCCCAAGAAAGGTTTCTAGAAACCAAAAATGTAAAGAATAAACTATATCTGCAGAGATAATTGAATAAGGATCAGATTCTTCTTCTGATATCTGTTTAATGTTTCAAGCAACTGTCTAGAAATTCCTCAATCTGCATTGGAATATATATACATTATTATATTTTATACATATAACATCTCATTCATATTTTACACATATAACATCTCATATTTTATACATATAACATCTCATTTCTAGTTTTACATATGTATATAGAAGCCAAAGCTACAAGAACCTTCATGTATTCCTAGTAAGAGTAATTATCAGTACAAGTGCACATGGGAAGCGATCTGACAATATCTATCAAAATACGAATATATATATCTTCTGACCCCTTTTTCTGGAAATGTATCTTATAAATAAACTTACATACAAAAAAGGCTATTTACAGCAGCAATATTTGTTAACAGAAGACTAGAAACAGGACAAATGCTCATTATTAGGAGACATTAAATAAATCATGATATAGCCATATGGTGAAACGCTATGCACCTGTAGAATAAGTGTGGAGAAACAGGATGTGTGTTTACTTAGCAACTTTTAATTGAGATTATAGCTACAACATAGAACATAGCTAGAATACATAGAATTGCTTGGAAACATCTCCAAGATATAATTAAAAGAATAAAAAAATTACATTAAAAGGGAGGCAAGGGAAAAATAAGAATTTATGTTTGGTTTTGGAAATAAATAGATAAAAAATAAAGAGATTTTAGAGAATACATTTTTACCCACATCTTTAAAATAAAAAATTTTAAAAACAAGAAAATACATTTTTAAAAATAGGATGTAGGGAATGAGAGAAGGGAGATGTTTTGCTGTGTACCTTTTAATTCTCTGATTTTTGGGCCATGTGAATACATTAACTATTAAAGAAATAATAATTTTCAAATAGCAAAAGCCATCTACTTAACGCTCAAAACATTTCATTAAACAAAGTGCTTCCTTAAAACACACACACACAAAGAAAGCAGAGATTTTTACCATATCTTCAAATGAATCTGACCTTTAAGCAAAATGTAAAATTAGATGACTCTTGTCCTTACTTCTTTAAGAGTGCTTTTTAATGCCTTGCAAAAATACATAAAACATTTTGTACTTTGGTCTAAAAATAATCCCAATTTAATGGCTTCCAGATAAATCTGAACTTAATTACTGACATTAAAAACCAGCTAAATTCCAACAATGAAGTTAACTTTTAAGAGCTTTCCTCTCTTGCCAAAGAAAACACCCATACCTTTGTCAGAATGGTTCTTCCTTCCATGAGGGATTCGGTGAAGGCACAGAATATACCCATCTTCTGTCTCAACTAGGTGTTCCTCACTAGGAAATCCCCAGTAAGAGATAATTTCACTCTGTAAGGAAAAAGGACAATGAAAATTCTGTGGACTGAATCTGACATGATCTCCCACATTAACAGGCAAAGAAGACAAAATGTCAATGACATTCTCCACTCTTAGTTAAGAAACCAACTGTCACTGAAATTTTAGTCTGCTCAATCTAGTAGCCAACATCCCATCCCAAGAGTAAATCTACTTGCTTTACCCAGGGGCTCTAAGCCACAGATGTTTGGTCAAACTTTGGTTTCATCATTCCAGTATGATCTATACCAATTATGTCTAGTTTTACCACAACTGCGTACCTCTTTGTTTCCATCCTACCCACTAGGGACAAGTAAACGCTCATTACTTTCGTTCCTAAATATGCCAGCTGATACTGTGGAAGTACAAAATACTTTTCTTTTTAGATTAAAAAATATAGTTTATTTAGAAAGTCAATTGGAGAGAGAGAGAGAGAAAGAGGAGATTTATCTCCCCAAGGTAGGGAAGGGGGTCAAAGCTTAAGAACACATGGCCAAACCACAGCTTAGCAAGGTAATGGCCAAAGTATTTTTCTTGTTTTAAGTGATCTTATCCTGGGGTCAAGCATTAAAAAAAAAAATTAATTCATTTTTATCAATGGATTAAAAAAAATTACACTAGAATTTCAAAGTAGAGTTGAAGAAATGCTGGAAAAAAATAGTGAATTATGCTCAAATTCACTTCTCCATCAGGAAGGACTTTTTGGACAATCATTAATCAGGAGTGCAACGTGATATGCATAGTTCAACTATCAGGAAGGCTTACTGAAAATAAGTTTTTATAATCCTCTCTACCATAATTACTTGAAAGAATTTAATTTTATTCTTCTTTTCTTCTTCTTCTTCTTCTTTTTTTTTTTTTTGAGTCAGGGTCTCACTCTGTCACCCAGGTTGAAGTGCAGTAGTACCATCACAGCTAGTGCAGCCTCAACCTGCTGGACTCGGCGATCCTTCCACCTCAGCCTTCCAAGTAGCTGGGACCACAGGCATGCACCACCACACCTGGCTAACTCTTTTATTTATTGTAGAGATGAGATTTCGCCAAGTTGCCCAGGCTAATCTCAAACCCCTGGGCTCAGACAATCCTCTTGCCTCAATCTCCCAAAGTGCTGGAATTACAACTGTGAGCCACTGCACCCTGCATTAATTTTATTCTGGCAAGAAGAAATTTTTTTTAAAGGAAGAGATAAAAGATTTGGGACAAGAAATAAAAATTAACCTTAAGACCCTGTTATCAGGTCACACTCCCTTGGCTCACTAATTTTTCTCAAAGTCCCCAAGGCTGCCTGATTCTCTGTTTGGTTCACTATATCATCTATTGTAAAGCTATTGTTCTCTTTGACAATCTACATTTTTCCAGTATTTTGTGCCTTAATGAGATATTTCCAGATTTTATTAAGATTAATAATTTTAAAATATTTTAATTAATGAAGTGATTATTTTGTGATTATTGTCTTTTTTAATTTTTAATTTTAAAGATGTAGAGTACAATTCAGCCTTAAGTATACAAATCTTCATTATGCAGTTAACCTTATTGATGAGCTGTGCCCCCCCGTAGAACCCCACTACCGCCAATCCGGCCCCACCCCCCGCAATTTCCCACTACTGACAATCCTCTTCTTATAGTATTACAATAATTGTTCAAGGTCCACTTATGAGTGAGAACATGTGAACAAAACAACATTTTGTTCAGATATTCGGATTTCTGTATTAAAATATGTCCCACTGGAATTCTTAATAGCCATCTTTGTTCAGTGTATTCTAAAACCAGCTCTCAGTTGCAGTAACGTTCTTGCAAAGTTTGGACACTTCTTATTGCTCTTTAAACAAATTCAAGCCGGGCTTGGTGGCTCAGCCTGTAATCCCGCGCCTTTGGGAGGCTGAGGTGAGTGGATTATCTGAGCCCGCGGGTTCGAGACCCGCCTGGGCAGCAAGACCTCATCTCTACAATAAATAAAAAAATCAGCCAGGCATGGTAGCACATGCCTGTAATTCTGGCTACTTGGAAGGCTGAGGCGGAAGGATCACCGGAGCCTGCACTCCAGTCTGGGCGGCAGAGTGAGATTCCAACAGAAAGAAAGAAAGAAAGAAAGGAAGGAAGAAAGAAAGGAAGAAAGAACGGAAGAAAGAAAGGAAGAAAGGAAGGAAGAAAGGAAGGAAGGAAGGAAGGAAGGAAGAAAGAAAGAAAGAAAGAAAGAAAGAAAGAAAGAAAGAAAGAAATTAACATTTGTCACAGATGCTATTTTAATTTTTTAAATTTCATTTCATTTCATTTTTGAGTCAGAGTCTCACCCTGTCACCCAGGTTGGGGTGCAGTGGCACACTCACAGCCACTGCACTCTCAGCCTGCTGGGTTTGAGTTTGGGTAATCCTTTCACTTCAGCTTTCTAAGTAGCTGGAATTACAGGTGCATGGCACCATGCCTGGATAATTTTTTGTTTTTTTGTAGGTCTTACCAAGTTGTCCAGGCTGGTCTCCAACCCCTGGGCTCAGGCAATCCTCTCGCCTCTGCCTCCCAAAACGCTGGGATTACAGGCATGAGCCACCACGCCCAGCCCACAAATGCATTTTAAAAGCACGTGATTTTGAGAAACCTACCACATTCATGCTGGCTTCTGGATCCACCGCTGTCACCTTCCCTCCGGGTCCCTCAGAATGCAGGATCCCAAGGGCCAAACAGATCACCAACCCCAAGAGCTGCATTTTTATTCTGCATAAAACAATCTATAGTTATTTGCCTGAATTTTAGTACACAAAAATATGTTAGCAAACAAATGCTGCCATGTAAAGTTCTGAACCAGGTTTAGGGCAAGTACAAGTTAGGTGAGGGGCAAATAGAAACAAATAGCTCCAGCCGTATCCAGAAGGAGAAAATGAGGAATTCTTTTTTATTAAGAAATCTCCCCACCCGCCACTCCCAGTTAATAAGTAACTTTTCGGGCCCAGCACACCCACTCACCTCCTCATCACAAGGTCATCTAAATTATTCCCGGAGAAATAAGAAAAGGCAAGGCTTAGAAGGAGATGAGTTGAGAAAAAGGAAGAGCCACAAGATTTCAGAGCTTGTTTATTTCCCACTTCTTCCTCTCCACTTGTGACTTAAACATGTTTAAGTTCAGCCAATATTAGCTCTTCCTCCCACTTACCCACCCACTTCTGTTCTTGCCCAAAATGTTATGTCAGCATTCAATTTGTCACTCAAGAGAAAAAAGTGAAATGAAAGAAAAGAGAGCCTGCAAGCAAAACAGAAAGAAGTCAACCCCTCTCTCCTTCTGAAACTTTCCAACCATCAACAAAGACCATCCTAACTTTGGGAATGACAGCTCAAAATCACAGCAAAGACCTTGAGGATGTTAAAGGCAAAGTAAAGTGACTCTCCCAAGGACACACAGATGGTTAGAGAAACAGCTAGGACTGAAGCCCAGAACTCCTACATTTTAAAAATAAATACAATCGCTTTAAAAGATACACATGTTAGCTGGGCTCGGTGGCTCAGCCTGTAATCCCGCGCCTTTGGGAGGCTGAGGTG